GTATGTCATTTATCATATGAGCACATGCATACATACATACATATAGTAGTCCGACTACTAAATTCATATACTTGTATATATGTATGCAATTGTTTTTATCGTATTAAACCAGTAAACTACATCTATTTATTACACATTTTTCTTTGTAAAAAAAATTAAAGATCTTTATCTAATGACAAACGCGAAAACCCATCCCTCTCATATATGACTATTTCTAATTATATCATTCTATATATATGTACGTAGATTGCATTTATAAGTATGTGTGTATGTAGGTGCAATTCGTCTTCTTCCGCTGTTTATTTCGCACTTTGGACATAAACAATACCTGACTTGCTATAACCCAAAGTTCAATTGCCGATTGAGGTTAAACAACAACAATCTAGATAACAGTAATCCCCCGATAGCGTCAATTTCTAAAAATAATTATATTTGATTATTTTTGTAATGTCTTTTTTCTGCATATTTTAAATTTTTTTTTATTTTTCATATGTAATATTTTCGCTTCGAGCTTTTGAAAAATAGAGCCATTGAACTTACTAAAACTGCATATTTGTGTAGCGAATCCACGAATTATATCGCCACAGTTTGTTTACTTGTGCCCGTCAAGTGATTGCATTCATTCCAAACAATTTCAACAAATTTCAAAGTACATGAATCGGTATTTTTGTACATTACCTTCCAATTAGGTGGCTATGATTATTTTTATTTGTAGGCGTATGTATTTCATAAAGCTTTTTAAAATATAATTTATAATATATCCTCTTATAAATATGGATATGTATATTTATTTCTATGATCCCTGTTTATATATGTACATGAACAGGTTTATTGACCACTTACGAGTATATATGAACGTATATATTTCATTATAATAAAAACACCTATCATATGGTTTTTACGATATTTCACGGCTCAACAAACGTGATTCTCCAAGGTTCTTCAATGTTATTACATTTGATATTTTTATTTATTTCATTAAACTTTCGTATTCCGATTATTGAGCTAACTAAATAGTTAACTGGTTTGATACCTCATTATCAAATATTTATAAATGAATAAAATTTTATCCGGACTGGCAAAAAATATTACATTTTTACACTCCTTATTACCTTCCAACTAGGTTCCTGAGCCAATAAAATAATCCAACGCTTAAACCAATTTTCCATACTCTTGTTATCCTCCTCGGCTTATTCGACAGTTTCCACGTCTTATTCATAAAGCAATATCTCGTCTTTTCGTATTTGTAATCAAACTCAACTTATTTTTTTATATTTATACTAATAAATAAATAGACAAATATGTACCATTTTTGTCGACCACTTTTTGCCATTTTTCCGCTAGAGACATTATTCTATCAGTATAAATCGAAATTTCCAGAATGGAAGCGAGCGAACTATTACATCACAAGCTGATACTTCACAAATTTAATTGGTGGCTTGCGTGGAATTCTTCCCTTTTTTATACAAAAATATATAAATATCAAACTTAATATAGGCATTTAAATATAAGTTGGTGGTTTGGTTCTCCGCGTCAACGATGGAACAAAAAACAAGGGTCTGAAACCTTCTAGATCGAACTTTTGGGGGTCGAATGTTATCAATAAATCTATTTTTTGGTTATATGATTTCACTTCAAGAAGAAGCTAGCTTCAGATATCTAGTTGGAAACCAAAGGTCAGAGCGTCATTAGCGAGATAACGCCGGCTTTGCTAGAAAGAGGGTTATTATTCGACTAAAACGAGTCATAGAACCTGTTATTGTTATTGTATTAGTGCCAAAATATTCTCCATTCCATTATTTTTTCTGTGGAATAAAATACGCATTAATCATATCACATGCACTGTTTTTCTAATAAAACACAGTTTGGCATTCAATGTAATATTACTTTTTATTTCTTAATTTTGCCAATTGTCATTCCTAGCAGATTTCGTTCTTTATTTCATAATTTCTTGCCGTATACTTCCAATCATATAATTTACAATATCTCTAACTATGCATCTTCGCTCATTACAATATCTAGTACGCGTAAACTCATACAGGGTCTTCTCATACGATCTTAGTGTGCAATCCACACAATTTGTGTTTTGTTTACCACATATGATTACAAATATGTACAAATTCGCATTCTGTGTGGCACAACCGAAATCAAGTAATCATTTTCATAGAAGATCGTTTGCAATTTTGGTAAACGCAATACAATAATTAAAGCCGATTTTTAATTTACAGCTGTGGTTTTTGAGAGCGATTTTGACATTATTGTAAGAATTTATAGAATATTTAAAATTAAGCATAACCTACCAAAAATACATCAATCAATTAGTAACCATACCTTTTTTTAATTTGTAATGCTCTTCCATTCCTTTGAAATGTATAAAACTAATATTACATCTTAATTGTGATAGAAATTAACACCAATTTGCACACATGCTTTCATATCTTCCGCTTCTCAATGCAGAATCTGCCTTTACCTCCATCGGATTCCTGCAAATTCAATACCTTCCACTCTCTTTTCAGTTTTTCAATATTTCTACTGAGGAATGTTCGTTTTTTTTATTACAATAACAATATTAATTTTCAAAAAGTGCAAATTATAAATTCCGTATTAAATTACTATTTAACAATAACCAGTTTTTTGTTTTATTTTTGTTGCTGGACACTTTATCAATAAATTTCTCTTACTGCAGCTATTGTTGCTATGCTGGTTCCGCTTCGATCTGTTGTTTTTTTTTATTCGACCATGGCGCCGATAACTGGTATTAACTATCGTCTCAATATATCTACATATGTTTGTGTGTATTTTAATCGGTATTTATTACAACTAGGCGGTGACTTTTGAGCTATGAAGCTACGCACTGCCAAGACCTCGCAGGCTTTTTCGACAATTTTTGCTTGAGCTCGCATATAACTCAACTGAAAACTCTTGTTTTGTTACATAAATTATAATTAAAAATATTTACAATTTTTGGAAATACAACTTTTTCATTTTTATATGAAAAAATACTTTTTGTCTCTATATGTTTTTGTTCATTCTTATTTGTGGATTGCTTTTGTTATGTTATTGGAAAGGCGAATGCTGCTCTTTGCGATACTGTCATGATGACTTTTTTCGCTTTCTGCTTTCAATTTTAGTCACATGATAACATATCTTTGTGTATGTACTTAAATATAAACATACATACATATGTATGTACATGTGCATATATGCTTGTGTACTTGTATCCCATAAGATTCTCTGTGCACTTATTTTGAATGGTTTTCCAATTCATACCAAATATTTTTGTGTACTATGTATGTATTTATGTACATCTATCGAAAGTGAAGAAAATGAAGTGGGCTTAATTGAATACAATAAAGTTCAACCAAGGTTAAATACATACATACATAAGTTCGTTATGAATGTGTCAATGCCAATTGGTTGGTGCAAAATTACATACATAAAATTAACCAAATGAATATAAAATTATATACAAAATTTTAAAACTTTTGAGATGTTAT